TTCCACCAGCAAAAAGGAAAGATACTGCCAGGGCAGCTGTTACAACCCGGCGATGACCACGATGACGACAGAGTGCTGCAACCGGCCAACAAAAAGCTGGAACTGGCGATTGTGATTGCTACAACCGGAGGCGTGAGATGCTAGAACCGAGTTCGCCATTGCTGGAAGAACTCTGCCACTCCAGGCCACCATTTGTTTTTGCTGCAACCGTAGATGCGCCCAGCTACAACTGTCGTGCGTTTTGCTGGAACCAAGGACCACCGGCGTTGGAGCTGCCCGTTTTGCTGCTACCGCAGATGAGAAAAGCTACAAGCGGAGGCTCGAGATGCTAGAAGCGACAAATGCTACAAGCAAGTGGGTGGTCTGCGGGGGAGCTCGTCGCCAGCGTTGTGCTGCAGGGTCTACGACAGAGGGGCGCGGCTAGCTCGCCGAACAGGTGCGCGGGATGCAACCATGGCTGGCTGGCGTCTGCTCACGAGGGAATCCACCATGGTCCAAGCGAAGCGGTGAGGAAGGAGGCAAAGGATAAGGATCGAACGGCTACAAATCACCGTATCGAACGGGCGTGGTGTGACCGGCTGAAATTTCGGCCGGCGCAACGGCGCCTATCAGTCGCCAAATTTCTTTCAACCCCCGGCACGGGTAAATTTGGATTCTGCCGTTAGTTCAATCCGTAAAAATACAATGTGCTGAATGAGATCCCATACTTTGGATCTGCAGAGTATAATGTTCAGTGCGGCTTCACACCCAAAGGTTATGTATAACCTGGCCAAACCTTATCGTGTTTCCTATTCCACGCGCCGAGTCGCCTACACAACGGTTTCTTCCTTTGCAGTCTTCTCTGTGTTTTTTCCCTTTGTTTGTTTCTTTTTTTATTTTCATGACTGTTTTCTCTGAATATCTTTTTATTTATCTTTCAAAATTAATTAATATATTTTTATAAAAATACCCATGTGGTAGTATATATTTTGGAGGCCGATAACTATCACATGTATGACACAATGGATACGTGACCACACGAGTTGTATGGCCGTATCCAGGGGACAGTCCACATGACTCTGTGTGGGTGAACATTAAAACTGCCAACATGTTCGAGCGCAGCTACGACGGTCCACACGGTCATGTTTGGCAATTGCTCATCCCCACCCCGTGAGCGTGAGTGCGTGTATAATCAATTTTAGTTGCCATGTGTAATTAACTGTAGCTGCCATGTGTCATGTATCGTTAAATATAGTTGTCATGTGTAACTAATTGGAGTTGCCACGTGTGGTCAAACCATAATTGCCATGTATTATCAACCATAATTATCGTGTGTGATTAACTAGTTGCCACATATGCACACATGTAGTTGTCGTGTGTGGTTAAATCATAATTGCCATGTATGATCAACCATAATTGCCGTGTGTGATTAACTAGTTGCTACATATGCACACTTGTGGTTGCCATCTATCATCTTGTGAGCGTCGTGTGAGGAAGAATAGTTTCGCCCATATGTTCGGGCAAGCGTTCCTGTGTCCGTTCGGGCGAGAAGCGCCCACACGCGTGGCATTAAATGATAAAAGCATCTCCAGTCGTTGGCCCCGGGGTCGCCTAAAATCGCCCCCTGGGGGTGAGCCGGCGCAAAAAATCGGCCTGGGGCCGAGTTGGTCCCCAGCCGCCGGCCTCAGGGCCGTCCCCAGACGCGTTCAAAAAAATTAAAAATATTCAAAGTTCGGCGAGGTTCGGCATATATTACATTTAAAAAGCGGGTTTTTACTACATAATATATATAATTAAAAAAAGAACTGGCTAAAAGCGGAGTAGTCGCCGCCGTCGTCGTCGTCGTCGTCCGGCTTCTCCTCCTTGACGCGGCCGTCCCCGGTGGACCCCTGACCGGCGTCGCCTATGCGGGCTGGTGGCGGCGCGGCGTCATCGTCGCTGTCCTCGATGACGACGATTCCTCCTTTGTCGCGGCCCCGGCGGCGCTGCGCGAATCGCCGTAGGGCGGCACACTGGTGCTCCCTCGCCATCTTCAGGGAGTCCGCGCGCGCCCATTCTAGGGCCGCGTCGTCGTCGAGCTCGACGTCGCCGCCGTGCTCCGTCTTCACCGCGGGGAGGCCCGGCTCCGTCTTGGGCTTGACGAAGCGCGGAGGAGCCGACGAGGGGGCACGCCGGCCGCCCACATTGATGACGATGCCGGCGCTGCGAGTGCGCCGGCCGAGCGGCGTCTCCGCCGCGGGCTCAGCCCTGACGCCGAGCAGCACCGGAGCGTCGGACGAGTGTGAGGAAGAGCGGGAGGAGGAGGAAGAAGAGGAGGCGCCGAACCTCCTGGGCAACCATTGCCCGTCGCGTCGGCGGTGAGCCGTGGCCGTGGTGGCCGCCCTCGCCGGGGGGTATGCCAACGGCGGGTCGTTGCTGCCCTCGAGGTATGTCAGAACGCCCTCGAGGGTGCGGCCGGGGACACCCCACCACAGGTGGCGTCCCTCGCTGTTCTTCGGTCCGCCCACCATCGGCGCGCCGTTGATGGCCGCCATCCTCTGCTGCTGCCGGCGCTGGAAGTACGTCGTCCACGCCGCTATGTTGTCGGCGGCGTACTCGGGGAGGGCGAGCTGGGCGTCGGTGAGGGAGGCGCGCATGACGTCGACCTCGTCGGTGAAGTAGCCCAATTTTGCCATGGTGTCGGGCAACGGGGGAATGGGCACTCCCCCGTTGCTGAGTCTCCACCCCGTTGGCCCGGCGCGCATGTATGGCGGCGCCGGGATGTTTGCCTGGAACAGGAGCCAAGACTCCTGTTCGCGGAGCGAGCGGCGGCCGAAGCCATTGGCCGCGGCCTCGTCTCCGGGGAATCGCTCGGCCATCGGGAGAGGGAGGGAGGAGAGGGAGGGCTCGGTGGCGACGCTCGGGAGAGGTAGATGGCGGGCTAGGGCTGGTGTTGCTGGTGTGGCCAGAGGCGAGGGAGGCCACCGGCTTATATAGCGGCGCCGTCCTGTGTGTACGCGTATGAGGGAGGGGAGGCGTCGGCGCGCCGCCCCGTGACGCGCCGCCCGTGAGGAATCAATGGTAAGGCTGACCGGCGGCAGCCTTGCCATTGATTCCCCGCGGGAAACCGAGGCGTTCGGGGACGAAGACGCGCAGAGTCGTTGACGCGGCGGGCCCGCGGCTCTTTCGCACCAAAACCGCTCGCCTCGGCGTCCCCGAGCGCCCCCCAGTGCGCCGGGTTCGGCCTGGGTCCGCCGGCGCTAAATTCAGCCTAGGCTAGCGAAAATCGGGCTCCTGGGGACCCGACTGGGCCGATTTTTCTGTGCCGGCGCAAAAAAAGGCTGGAGATGCTCTAACACCCACACAACGCTGGGTGCTTAGGTGACTCTTCACCCAAATGGCAACTGCTTCAAAATTCATGCAAACGGATAAAACAATATCGAATGCGTGTGGACGTGTTGATAAGTGCTACATGTGTGAGCG